CCATCTGAGATATAGTTATATTTAGTATCTGGGATGCGGGCTGTGGGTTGTGGTGTGTCTCTACCAAAAATGTAGCCTGTGTAATTTGCAGGGTGGGGTGATGCCGATTGCTTAGAATCTAGTCTGGGTGGTGCGTTTGTAAGGTCCGATAGGTTGTGTTGCACCAGTACAACAGACGGATAAAAAGAATGCTCAAATAATGACCAAGATAGATACTGTTATCGAACACAACCAGTCCTAATCCAGGCTATTTTTTCTTGCCAATCAACCATCAAAATAAAGTTTAATTTAGATCTACCCTTCTTGATATTTTATTCGACATGATATACTTAATGGCTTGAATTAACACAAGTTTATTCGTGCTGAATAAAAAATAGATTTCAAAGGTTATCAAGTTTCTGTAGAAAATGTCGTCTGCTTGACATATCAAGTTCCAGCTGCAGCCAATCAAAATAGCTCATTTATTAACAGTTACTTTTCATTGGTTTAAAACAGTCGGCTATGGCGTTTATAATATTGATGGTTGTCGTTATTGTTATCTTTATGGTGGAAATTGGATTTCTCTTGAACGACTGCCAGAATTGAACGTGTCGCTCTGAAGACAGAATTTAGAAATGATAAGATGATATTGATTAATGATTGTCTGTGAAATTCAAAGTCTGTTTCTGGAGATTTAACGATTCCTCCCCATTTTAAAGAACCCTGACTAATGAAAGTGGTAATTCAAAACATCTGCCCCTGTTCGTCTGCTCTGCAATCGAGAACTTTTTGCACGTATTTTTGCTCACCAAACGTGACGTTATTGTGTAGGCTATGAAAAATGTTTATTAGAGATCTATTCCTTCCAAATAATAAATTTGTTTTTTTCAGGCGAATAATTCCACGAACATGGGTAACTTAACTATTGTAGCCTAAAGTTTTATCGTCTAAAAAAGTACACTTCAAAAACTAGAGGTAACTGCACATGGTGTCAGTAATGATGTCAATAAACAGTCCGCCTGATATCAAACAAATAATCAATAAATATAAGAAATGAAATCAGTTTGTAACTAGGGCCAATCTTCTATTTCAAGCTTTTAAACACTCAAAGAAGGTCTTGGTTGCCAAGAATTGTTTTAATATTAATGATTAAATAACAGTATTCAAGCCGTATTATTAGTTCAATTTAAATGTAGCGATTCATATCTGACTATCCAGATTGTACAGCATGTGGCTTTGAGTTTCATTATTATTCATATAATTATAAAACTAATGCACTTGTTTGACATCCCATCAATAACATTAATTTGTAACCGAGAGATTTGTAATTGGTTTTAGATAACACACAAAGAAATTTGACGATAAAGTTCGAATTTTCTTTATTTTTCAAAAGTCAAATGAGAAGTTATTTTTTTTTTAAAGTCGCATCTTGAATAGATAGTGACACCTGAAACTAAACAGATCGTGTATATGACGTCAAGTGAAGTGTTATTTTCTTCAATGTATACAGTAATTCTCGTCTGTCATTTCAACTAAATAAGCCGTGTGTATCACGAGATTAAACCATTATTCGTCATGTCAGAAACGTAATAGTGACAAGGCTGACTGCAAGCTTTATCATGATAATGAGAACTCAAATAAATGCCTGGTACGTCGGCAGCAAAATGCCCGGGAGGAAATGGAAACCATGTTTGGTAACCATGGAAACAACCGCCAGAGTTGGCGTGTAAATACATTTTCAACATATTGCTCCCTACCTTGAGAACATAGTTAACAACCTACTTAGCCCTAGGGTATTTTATTATGGATAGTTTGAATTTATCAGAGGTGATATTATCATAACAAAGAGACCTGTTAAATGGACGTTTCTTTCACTTCAATTTTGAATAATATTCTGTAAGACTCCATTTATAGTAACAGATGACATATTTAAGATTATAGTAGTCGATTATCTTCTGACAAAATATTGACAAATAACTTTCAATAATACAAGTATTATTTAAACTGAGGAAAAGACTAAATCGACTTCCATTCTTTTCGGATAATTTACGCCTGCAATAAACATTTAGAAAGAAAACTTATTTGAAACCCATTTTACATAGTATTAAAATTGCCTATTTTTTATGGCCAAGCTTCTGAAGTTTTCAACACGTTATTTTTTTTATTACCTCTTAGTTATTTATTTCAAAACCAGGTTCTCCCAAATCCGTCGAATAACAGAACCTGTCAACCCAACAATTTAACACTGTACAATACAACATGTCATTCAATTTATAGTTTACGTGACATGTGAATGTGACTCATTTGTCACTAGCTGATATTCAATCTAAAACCCAACATGTTTACATGTTTTGCTTCTAGTAGACCAGACGAGCTGGGTCTTTGCGCATAAATCGTGAAATACAATACACGTCTTATAAAAAATGAACCTGGGAGAAAGAAAAACTCAGTCTAAATTTTATTTAAATCTGATATTTGCTTAAAGGTTGTTAAAGGGATACTACGTCTTAGAATAAACATAAAATTTAAAAAATATATTCATCAGTAGATATACCTGGTGTCATAAATAACATAACAGGATTCTTATATAATCCGATAAATCAAAAAAACTTTATAAAAATGCAATAAACTATTGAAAAACGCTTAATATTATGATTAAACGTTTTTCAATAATTACTTAGTTTTATGAATTTTCCAATTTTCTAGATTTTACAGGGATTCTGTTGTAACTTTATGACACCAGGTAAGTTCACTGATGAATATAATATATTCATATTGACCATTCTTGGGAATTAAATTTTATGTTCATTCTAAGATGTAGTATCACTGTAAGACTTTATATTTTGGGAAGTAAAGGGCCCCGAATATTCTGCTGCTTAATGGTCATTTCGGAGTACATTACTATGTATAATATCCATTTTCATGATTTGTAGCGTCAAATACAAGACTTCAACAATACGCAAATTAAAAAAAAAACACACACACTTTTGAATAATGATTTGAAATTGTGACCCACTTGCCTGTAGGTCCAGTCTGGTCGTCAATTTGATTGACCAGTATTATAAGAACCTCGAGGCCTATACGATGTTTCTGATTAGACTTGTTGTTAGTTTAACTCTCATGGAAGTTGCTATTTTATCAAAGCTGTTGTCGTTTAGGTAGATTTTATTACCATTTAATTGTAACCTTACACCCGCCATAATGTCACGTGACTCGCTGATAAAATCACCAATTAATGCTGCAGATAAAGACACTTTACACCTCCTGAAATTAGAGACTTAAATCACGTGATACGATTGTTTGATAAGGGTTTGGTGCCTTTAATTTGTTGATGCAAGACGGTATTGTTTGCCAAGTAGCAGTGTTTCCCATTCAATCAGTTAGACAATACGGTTGATTAGACCCTCTACTGATAATTTGACACACCATTGCCTTTGTCGATGAAATTAAACACTTTGACAGGCGGAACTAAAAACAGAGGTCTGAAGTCTCTGTTTTTAATACAATCCTATTGCACTCTCTTGTTTTCCTAACAACATTTTCTAAAGATTTTTAAAATCCTCGAAGTAACTGTAAAAAAAAATACTAGCAGCTGCCAAATACCTTGAAATTTGGAATTATAGGGTAGGCCTGAATTTTTCTTAGGTTCAAGTTCAAGGCCTATTTTGAAATAATGCTGAAGAAACTTAAAACCTTTTAATATACATGTAGGCCTACTTGTAGACCTAATTAAAATAAGGTCGGGGAAAATACTTCTTGAAAAGTACATACATTTATTTTTTCTTATCGCGGTGGACGTGTTATATTTAATCTCTTGGTTTAGTATTTAAAGAGGCGGTTGAAAAGAAAACTGTATTCGTTTCTAATTCATGTAGTATAAGGTTTATAAATGTTGTATTTTATGCCAGCAGATGTTTGAATAAAATAAAAGAAATGGGAGTCAATTTAGCGTGAAAATAAGCCTTCGATCAAGCATGGTGAATGGAAAGACGGTGTGTTGTCATTATTTTCTGTGATAATACAGTTGCCCTCCTTGACACCCATTCATTAAGTATTTGAAGGGTTTTATCAGCCAACAACCGTCTTCATAAAACCAGTAATTGGAATCTCTGGTATAAGCTGATGAGGTCTTCCTTGAGTATCAAATGACCTCCGAGGTCACGTGTATAAGCTTAATATCTTGGGATTTGCTAGTTGTATTAAATTAAACTGTTCAGGGTGAATTAAGAAAGAGAACAAAGAACAACATGACCCTATGGTTTGACCTTATCCGTACCACTCGCTAAATTTTTATTATTTTTTTTGAAAGGTCTAAATACAGGTTACATAAAAGTAGGAATAATCGAAAAGTGGTTCCATTGTAGCCTCTTGCGCGATTATTTTTATCCTTTTGTGGAAGTATGGGGTCTAAATTTAGTCTCCATAGCCTATTACTAGGCTACCCTGTGTCATTAGAAATTATATGCTACAATTTGTGGGCAAGAAGTAGGGTAGACCTACACTATTTGTATTAGGGTGTAATGAGAATAGTCAATAGATAAGCCTATTGATTATATGTAGGCCTACTTGTATTTGTCAGATAGTAGCCACTGCTTGCTTAAAAATTGATTTGAGAAAGGCAGCACAAACAAATCGAAAAATTTTGTAATGCCTCCAGCTTTACCTAATAGGGCAATGAAATAAGAGGACAGATTAACAAGCAATATGGATAGAGCTATTAATAGAACTCTATTAATTACCTTTATGGCATTACGGTCTAAGGGAAATAACTCCAATTTCTAATATCAACATTTTATTCTACTACCTACGATACAACTAAATGGCATAATTTAGGATACATCTGTAAATTTTACAAAGTATTACTTTCATATTACTTTAAATAAGAATCATTTTCCATTCTCACCCTCAAGATGAGTTTTGACACATAATTTCAGAAAGATAATTTCTTTCAGTTCGTTTTGTAGTAAATCCATAAATTGTACGTAACCAAGTGGCTTAACTCTTGTCATTACTTTCTGTGAAAAATTGTTTTGTGTGAAATTTTGAAATTTTTATCTTGAAAATGGCAAATTTGCCACCAGTACAAATTGAAAATATCCAGAAAGCTTTAAACCTTACACAGAAACTTCGTTCAAATGTAACCCAGTTGTTTCAGAAGCTCTCAGATGGATTTGATGATGTAGAAAACAATGACAAGACTTTGTTGAGTGAAATTCAGAAATCTCTTGGTTCTGTCAACAAAGATTTCAGGTAATAAATAAGAGATTTCCTGATATATCATTTCACCTATTTAATCTCAGATATGCTCAAAAAATAATGTCTCCTGAAGCAGTATGTTTGTAGCTGATGCATTTGCCTTTGGACAAAATTAAGTTTTACTGAATGGGAGACTCTTAACTTTTAGACTTAGAAGTGCCTTGAAAATTCTCCTCTGTAATGTAATATCATATTTCCTAGCAATTATTTTCTCAACCAACCAAGCAACCTAAAGAAAATTCAATACGATCAATATCAGATTTTATATTCCAATGCATTCCAAAATGATGATTCAATCATTGATTGTGTTAAATTTGTGGTCGGGCAGTAGTTAGTTATCGACCCTACCCAACTGTTTTTGTTTTATGTTTTTCAGTGATTTAGAAACTGGCAGTAACTCTCTAACACAAGTTACAGGATCTGGTAATAGTCAGTTATTATGTATAGATCCAGTTATAGATAAAACTTCTACATATTCACAGATACTACAGTCATATAAATGGACTGATAAGGTAGCCATTTTACATTGAAATGTATTGATGGTTTTTGATCATGATTAGATATAAATCACAATGTTTATTGAGAGGTATTTTGAGAGCAATGTTCTCAAATGAATTATTTATTGGTGTAATCAGTTATGTTTTCATAAGAATTATCCCATTCAAATCTTTTTATTTAACTTCATGAGTGTTATTGATATAGAATCAATTCTCAAAGTTTGTTTTATATTTGCTTTACAGATGAGAGAGCAAGCTGCCTATGCTCATGCATTAATTAAAGAAAATCCTTTTAAAAGAACTCATGTCCCAAGTGGTCTCTTTCCCAAAAGAATCAGAAGAAATCAGCTAGCTTACAGCTACCCTCCAAAGTAAGTCAGCATTTACATACATGACTGATCATCTTTCATAGTACCAGGTGTTAGACTTATAAATATCACAATGCATTTCAGAATAATTTCCATACCTGACCTAGCATTCTTTTTAACTTTCTCTTGACACAATTTAGACTCAAAACACTAAAATGTTGTGTACCCTAATTAAATTGGGAACAAAGAAGTATTCATATATTGTTATCATTGAATTTCATGTTGTTATAATTTCAGTCGATTAGATGAACTAATTAATCTACTACAAGTACAGTATATAGATACAATGAATATATCAGTTGTCAGACCTCTAGGGAGTTCAGCAGTAGTCCAGGTACTTGTAGATAGTTTTATACATTGAACATCCAAGCAGAAAACACACAAACGAAAATATGTATTTTAATACTTTAATTGAAGATGACAGTCATATAGTAGCCTTTCAAAGGCATATTAGAAGCACAGGTTGTAGATAAATAAGACAATTTATGGATAGATACTTCTAGAATATTTATTACTTCAACTTTTCAATGTGGTTCTCACACCGAACATCTATCCATAAATTGTCTTATTTAGTCATATTGTAGTCACTGTCCTAAAAAATACATTTTTGTGATATAGTAATTTTGCTTTTGAATGAAATTAATTTGAAGGATTTCTGCATGGAGAAATAAAAAAAAAGGATCTTATAATTTCAATTCATGCAATTTGGTCACTGTTGAATTATTTCTAGGTTGTATTGGGTAAAACATTAAAAGCTTTATTAGTATTCCGTGGTATAGTTATAGAATGGGTCAAAGTGAAAGGTTTCATGGAAGAATTTCAAAATGAAGATGGCAAGGTAAAAGCTTCTTTAAGAATAATTAGATTTGACATAGCTAGTATAATCACAACTCAAAGTTCATAAACAGAATATTTCCTCTGTGCACTTCATGTGTTTGTTTGCCTTGAAAGATGTTGTCTTAAACTTCTCTCTTTTTCTTCAGTATAACATGCTATAGTTTTTATTTCTAGCAATTATACATTTTTATACATTTTTATACGTTTTTATTCTTTATCATAGGTTGATATCTGGTCTTCCTCAAGATATGAAGTCTTTAGAAAGGTATGAATATATCTTTGTACATAATAATAATAAATGAAAACCTATGCGTACTGTAAATGAATATTTTTAAGTTTGTCTATCGTCCATTTTAAGCACAAAACATTAGTGAAGATATGCAGAAAAGGCTAAAAATCATTATGTCAATAGAAAGATGTTTTCTTTGTTTTCAATGGCTGAGGGATTTTTAATTTTGTTTCAGATCACCAACCATGTAACAGCAGCTACTCTACATTATTACCTACCAGAAATGCCTGATTTAGCTATTAAATCTATTATGGTACGTATAGTAATTTCAAAAACATTCAGTCTTATTATGATAAAGGGAAGTTCCATGATTTTTTGAAATCTTTAATAACTTTATATTTTCACAGTAATATCTGTCTAACTGTATTTTCTTGGTTTCAAATTATGTCATTTGTTTCGTGACGTGTGTTCTATCTTAAAGTGAGATGCAAATATGCAAACGTAGCTCATAAAACAATGAACCAAGATACCTCATTTTTTAATAAATCTTGTTCTTGTAATGTTGACCCATTCTCCCCCCTTTGATTACTAATGACATGCTATTGTTTTTTTCAGATTTGGTTACAGTCCTACTCTACCTTATTCTCAGCACCCTGTCAAAAATGTGGTAAATTTTTACAAAATGGTCTGCCTGCAACATGGAGGTGTTTAAGAACTAAAAAAGCCTATCATGAACAATGTAAATTAATGATACAAATGAAGTGATCTGCTCAAAACTGAAGGTCTATATTCTATATTTAGAAGACTTTTAAAGACACTGGCATGTCAATAAATGTTTTGGAACAGACATAAAATTGTCTTGGAACAGGATTGTGATGTGAGAGTTTCAACAGAAATATACTATGCAAGGCATTTAAAACTGAAATTGCCTTATGATTAATTTATTTCATCTTAAAAAGAAAGATCAAGAAATGGACAGAGAAAAGGTTCTAGAAAACTTTTATCGATATTTGCCAGATTCTCGGTATTTCAAAAGGACATTTCTATATGTGTGTCACTGTCAACAGATATATGATGATGTTTATCTGATAATAGTCATGGCTGTAAGACGTAACACTCAATTTCATCTTCTTCATTCAATTCACTAGTTGTTTTGTATCAGTCTGTGTAAAGACTATAAACTACACATTTTTGTACTGTATTTTGTCATAAAATCATTGCTATCAATCATGCAAATATATGTAATCCGTAAATTCCTTATTTTTGATTACTTAAGTGAAAAAGATATAACGCCATAGAACTGTAAACTAGCAGTTCTATGATTACGCTAAGGAAAGGTTGTGAAGCAGTTTGAATATATCTGTTGATGAATCCACGATGAGTTCACGATATTTTATAAATGGATTTAGCTCCCTTGCACTATAAGCCTCATAGAGATACTGAAATGAAATTACTAGTTCGAATTTTCAGGATCAAATGCTAACCATAATTTAAAATCAAAGTCCTTAAAATAAATGTTTCTCTAGAGTCCTAAAATAATAGAAAATGATTACAAAAATGTTGTATTTTTTCATAGTATCTCTTTGAAATGAAAGCTGATGACATGCATAATGGATGGTCCCTGGTACAAAGTAATAACTTGTGTTAAAGCGGTATCTTATCTAAGGTCAGGGACGCAGCAGACGAAATTTACTCCTGTTTTGAAAGGAATAAAGTAAATTTGCAGGTAGGATGGAGGTTCCAGTGGTTTTGGTTGTGCTTTTGGCATCGTTTACCAGTATACCAGTGGTTTATGAGTGTAATAAATGGAACGTGATGAAGAATTCCGTTGCTATATTGTTTATGGGACTGTTTACATTGTCAGTTGCAACTGTTCTACCAGCTCTGTATCTCAGGAAAAAATATATCAAAGTTGATCCAATTATATATGGTAAGTGGGATTTAATGATATTTTCCTTATTAAAAGTTCATTTCACATTTATTGCATTTGAAATTTAAATAAAATTGCGGCGTCTCTGACCTACTTACTTACAAAGGAAAAATATGTTATAGGTCACGGGAGCAGTCGTTGTGACAAAAATGCCCGTAAATTACAAATATTAATTAAAATATTTTAATTTGTTCTGATTATCATGTTGATTGTCTTTCCCCTTAGCCCACAATGGAAATTGCCCTTTATTTTCTTATAATCAATACAATTCATAAGAAAAATTCCATTTGTTTTACCAACATTATAAGGAATCAGTCAAGAAAATTAGTCATGTTGATGTTGTAATGATATATATATTTCAGCCTGTATACCGTTTGCATGGAGTTGTGTGGTTGATATGATAATTGGTTTAGAATATAATGGATATGTTAAGAATTTTATGGAGTTTTATTTTAAAGAAGGAGAACCATATCTATTTACTGTACATGGTTCTATTATTAGTCTCTGGGATGCCACGGCTCATTATATCATGTATTTATTAATGATATACCTCTTTTGTTCTGGGTAGGTATTACAAAAAAATTGAGAAAACAATCTAAAAGCAGCAAAAATATAGAATAGGGCTATGATTAAAGTGCCAGGCTTGATTTCATTATTGCAAGAAAAGATTACAATTTTTAAAATTTGAAATAATATTTCTTTTGGATTTCATAAATGCAATGTCTGTTAAACCAAAATCTTGTCAAGCATGACAAGCTCAGGAGCAAGAAATGTATAGCATTGGACTCCTCGAAAGAGAAGTACTATCAGATGTTTCGAAAAGGAGTAAGCATGTTCTGGTATGTATTTGTCTATGATACATTAATATTATATATCAAGCATATAAATTTACTTTTAGTCAGAGTTATAGAGAAGTTGGTTTATATTGGGTTGGATCATTATTACACAGTATGATAGTATTTCTACCTGGTAACTTAATAGGTATGTGTTTACTCTTTTATTCCAAAAACAGAACATTAACTTTTCTTACATTATTGATACATTAACATTTTACAATTACTGAATTGTAATAAAGGATCAAGGATATAAATTCTTTCAACAGAGTGTTTGTTAGTCTTCTTTGTTACACTTGACTTTAAAAACCAATCAAATGTGATGTTAATTCTTTGAAGTGGTTTTTTTCTCTCAATGGCTACATGTGCCCCTTCATGCCCCTAGTAGATGGTAGATTATGTATGTTCTGTATGATATATATATATATATAATTATATTCTACAGGTGATTACGGTGTAACATGGGCATATCTTCTCAATTTACCTTACATCATAGTACCTTTAATAGCTGCCTTTAAATTCCTTAAAGATAGACCTATGCATATCAAATCATACATGATTGTAAGTAATTTATTTATCTTTTTATCTAGTCATTTTGGAGATTTTTAATCAACCAACGCAAGACAAGACATTTGACTTAACTTTCTAAAGCGGATATAGGGTTTTTTCCCAATTCTCGTAGATGAATCTTTGTTGTTAAGATTGACTTAAGTATCTTGTGTGGCTTTAAGCCCCATGAATAAAACCTTAAAAAATAACAATTTGAAAACTTTATAAGGATAACAAAAACATACAACATGGAACAGCATTCGCGACTTTCTTATCTTAAGGGATCATTTAAGCTTTTTGTAATTTTTGTTACAGATTCCAAGTATACTTGAAAGACCAAAAGATTTATTATTTATTCTGTTTTTCCTGGCAGCCATTGTATTATCTATATTTAGAGGAATGGTTAGTTGGAGTTTTAATATATTTCATATTTTGCATTGAAAATAAACAAATCTACTAAAGTACAATGAGAAATTAACATGTGATAAAAGTATATCAAGATCAGCCAACTGCAAAATGTCATCATGTGTCCAGAAAGCATTGGTATTCTCTTTAGTTTGCCCACAAGATAATGGTTTGAAGAATTCATTTAAAAACTCATGGGTGCTTTTGTTGTCCATCTAATATTTTTCAAGGTCCTAATTTGATGTGCTATGGAATATTGATATCTATTTCAGATTGCTCTAGGTTGTCAGGCTGATACTATAGATGTATATTTAAAGAAATATGAAGCTTACATCAATGATGAAACCCAGTATCCTAAAGTACAGGTAATACAAACATATTTTTCTTCAGCTTATATGATATAGTAAAAGTATCCTTGTTTGGTTGGCTAAATTGCAAGTGGCTTTATATTTACAATCCAAGAACCAGTTTCCAGAAAGCTTGGATGATTCCCATGAGATTTTATTCAGCACCTAAAGCAACATTAATATGTTGGTTGGACTGCATCTGGTATGGCAATCTAGAAACACTAATAACAATCAGCACCTTTTGTAGCTGTGATACATCTTTTGTGTGTTATCTTTATAATGTTATGTTTTATTTGATTATAAATATGTGTATTTTATTGTATTACAGATGATTATCTACCTGTTTTATTTTGGGTTATATTATTGTTGTGCTATATTTGGATTAATAGTAAAAGATCAATGTTATATGACTGACTGGTCTATTATACATGCTGGAGCAGCTGCACAGGTAATTTAAGTTTATTTTCATTATAAAAGGTTAACTTTGAAGAAATGGAACATTTGCAATCTAATGTTAATTTGAAAGACTGGGATTTTTATATTGAACCCTTCATAGTACACTCCAACCTATAGTTACTCCATAATTTTAAATAACTTGATCTTCTTGGATATAAGTACTTTTTTTGACCAGTCTAAGGTTTCATCTAAAGTAGATTTTCATTACTGCAATAGTCCAACCATGGTTTCCAGATGTACACAACTCAACCAACCAAAACACAAGTTGAACTGTCTAAGGTAAAACAATTTTATGGAAGGGTGATATTACATCACACACTAACAGTACCAGTAGTTGTATGAAACACAATTTTAGATTTATAATTCTAATTTCAGGCACAAGTGTCCTATATATTTGGTGCCATCCACAGTAAAACACCTAAACATCTGCATCCAGCCACAAGCGGAATTCCTGCCATTTGGTTTTGGACCATTAACCTGGGTCTCTTAATCATACCACATCTATTTGTCTGGCGGTGCAAGTCAGATCCAGACATGTTTGGTAGAACTTACACTATTGAAACGGCTGATCCCGTACTGGATATAAGTGGATACAATACACTTACACATACTTCAAAGAAGAAAAAATAAGAGATTGGTTGGGTTGGGTCAGCAAGTGTATAATTTATTTTCTTATAATTGCAAAGAAACCACAATTTTTAAATTTAAGATTTTTTGCAAGAAAAATTTTATTTTCATTTATTGAGATTTGGATTTGATCATTTTGACAGAGTTCTAAATATGGCACAAGTAAGAGTATGATATTGTTATTATTGATTGGTGCCCAACAAAATTGTATTGAGATTTGGAGGGTTGTATATTGTCCATATTGTTTATCATCAAGGATCCCTTTTTTCAAAATATCATAGATTAGATGCATGTGCGTAAACACTATAAATTAACGATTTGATAGCGTCAAAAATAACATTCTTCTTCACTTAACTTGCAAGTTTAGTCATTTGAGAAACAGGATACAGGTTTATATTTCTACTTATTATTATTATTTTGATTGATCTCATCAATTTGAAATAATTTTCAATGAAATGGGCAGCTTGGTTATTTGTTTTACATGATTATTTCTCTAATGCATTATTCATCTTAAATTATACACTCAACTAAAATCTGATGGATATTTTATCATTGTTCAATTGAATGGTCATTTATCAACATTCAGGTATATAGTAAATTGACCATGTAACATATATTCTACAGGAGAAAGCAGTTTTTGTTTCTGTATGGAATATCCCATATGTTCAGAAATAATTGTTAAAAAGCACTTTTTTTCCTATGCTTGATTGAGTATATGTTTTATGTTCAATGTGCCTAGTCATTCAAAAGAATACTATTCACTATTGAAAACAACATCATAACTTAGTAATCTTACATTTGATCAGTCATAAGATGAACAAACCAGGCTTGGTATTCTCGAAACGATCTTAGTGCTAGGATGTCCTAGAATCAATGTTAGAAGATAAGAACTTAGGACATCCTAGCACTAAAATCGTTTCGAGAATACCAGGCCAGGATTATTACTTACATTTGGTGGGCATTATCCTATGCAATCTTCTGGTAATGATGCAGACGATGGTCAACTTTTATATCATTATAAAGTATATCTGTATTTGATAGCTTTTAACTTTTTAATGTCATATTTTTTTCTTGTGATCTTATCTCAATCTTTTGCAGATTTTTTTGATTTGTTACAACCATTTTCTTATAGCTCTGGGGCTTTTTCAAAACCTAGATTTTCAGACCTTCAGTCATCTAATTGATCAATCACAATTATCAATTTTATATACATAGTTTTAAACAAACATATCAATCAGACAAATGCATTACCGGTAACTGACCAAAATTTAAAATTGATATTAGTGATCTTTTAATCAGTTGACAGATACGCTGAAATCAGATATTGAAACACAAACCCAGTGGTTATATCTGGTGCATTTACAACAATTATTAGATATTATAAGTATGTGTTAAGTATACACAGTATATATGTAGATAACAATATTTATTGACTGGTTAGTAACAAGTTATTGTTACAGGTGCTTTCTATGTTGTTTATGGATATTTTTATGTATTTTTTTAATGCTGGTTTCTTTGATCCATGACATCATATCATATATTTTATCATAATATCATTCATTTTATAATTAAATATTTCATTTTTTGTCAAATTAAAGATAATTATGTATATTGTTTTGTTGATTATTTCATCATTCTATGTTATTGATCAGGGTTCAGTGAAAAACCTCAAAAGTTTACATCTAAAAAGTGGCATTTTGAAAGAAAAACAGCATTGGACACAATTTAAGGGATTGTTTTGCTCAGAGTTTTGATAAGATAATTGGTCAGAATGGCAACTCAGCTAAAAACATAAGAGATCTTGCACAATTTGGACTTTGATGATTTATCATGGCAAACCTTTATCCACTCAGGGATTCATGTGAAAACCCCTCTGTTTAGAAAATAATACAATCTACCAAACGAACCCTTAAGTAACAGTTTCAAGGAGAAGACTTGTATATGAGTTAAATATTTATTTGTAATGTTAGTAAATAGTAATGTTTTAAGTGACATTACCACAGAATTAAAATCTCTACAAATATACAATACAATCTGTAGCATAGCCTCACATTAATTCATGCACATCCATCAAAACATTGACAAGAATAGGTAGAATAAGTAGCTGACCGAAATCATTGTAGGTTAAAATAATATGGCCATACACTCAACATTGCATCAATGGTCAAACACTGAAAATATACTATTCTAAATGATGGCTCGGATGTGCATAAATTTGACATAGTGATTATTACCATTTTGACATCAAAGGCAAAGATCTTCGATAAATTGTAAAAATTATAATCTGCAATGAGTCTGAAAGCAAAAGCAGAAATAATAATGGCTGCCAATTTCTTTTAGCTGGTGATCTTGTATGGATCATTCTGTACATGGTTTCTAATACTCAAAAACAAATAACATATAAAAATTCTCAAAATACTGCTGTGTACAAACAATTGTGTAAAATATGACTTTTTCCAAATATTTAGGAGTTGGGTAAGAAATGGGGGACTGAAAAGTGACAATCTTTAGGATTGAATTCACAGGATTAAGACAGAACTTGAGAATGAAGATGTAACATACTTAAAGCAATACAAGAATACGAGTATATGTATATATTATAAAACATAAACTGATGAGTGAGCATTTAAATTATATTTTGATAAAAGCTTTTGATTATGGATTATGGCAATAAGTAATGATTTAAAAATATTTCAGGCTGCATCATGATACATTAATGTCATAAAGGGCCAAATTAATTTTGCAAAGCTTGAAGGCAGGAAGATAATATATTTGTTACAAAGTGATATAATCAGACGTAAGAGTGTATTGAGACCAGTCTCAATGAAAGCACTGGCCTAGGTCACAGAGACCAGTGTTCACAGGTAAAATGATCGAAAATTTTGCATTGACACAAATATAAATAACATAGTCTCCAAATTCTACACAGACTGTTAAACTGTTTCTTAAAAATTTGAAACATAAACCAAGATTGAAACTACTTTGTGAGATTGTAGCCAAGCCACTAGAATTGAAAACTTCGTCCTTGATTAATGGCAGTGAATGTTAAGCCAGTGAGAAAAAACGCCATGCTAAGCCTGTAATTTCCTATATTGAAAAATGACCATATTTACATGAATATATCAACAATTAAATAAACAAACTCAGTATAAATAAACACAGGATAATGATATGATTGTAAACTGATATTTAAAAAAACAACTTGCTTAGAAAATAATGACTGGGACTGGTGTTACTACAAAATTTGCAATAAAAATTGAATGATATCTCGAGAAAATAAGGCTGTCTCATTACAATAATATTACAAGCAAATTGGGGTAAATTGCTGTTTTGGTTGCTTAGGCCGCCAATATACATCAATGTTAAAATATTATGACTATCAGAGAGTTTTTTGGTACAATCAATGGACAAAACTGACAAATTTTATTAGTGCTAAAGCTGGAATTTTCAGGTTTTTTTATGGTGTTTTGTGGGAAGACCTTCCAACAATAAATATATAGAATTAGATCTTCCATTCCTTGATAATAAACAGGTGCAGATAACTCCATGCTATCTATTATCTGAGGAAATTGTTAGGCATCTCCTGTTCTAGGTCATTGAATATTCAACCAATCAAATGCTCTGTTCATAAAAAGATTTTTCTTTCCATACGTGAGGAATTCTGGGATATTCATTTTAAAATATTGATTTGTGTGTTTTGATTGATTAACATAAATTATGAGAACTTTTGATACTATTAGGCCAAAATTCTACAGAACATGAAATAAGAAAGAATCTTGTCAGATCATTGATGGCAAGTACAATAACCTACAGAACAAAACACAAAACATTAAATCAGATTTAACTATAAATAAAACAAAGCCAAATTAATCTAAAGTTTTGAAGTCCAAAAATCTTATTTTAAAGATCAACGACCAATTGTCCCTCTATAACTTAGTAAACACTGTAGTTGGTGTAGTAAGGTTGAGGCTATGGTAAGGTTGATGTTGTAGGTTGATGTTGTAGTTATAAGTGTTGTAAAGTATCCAGGGAAGTGGAATGGTTGTATAAATATCACAGGTTTTGGTCAGCCCACTTACTATCTACAGGATGTATCAATGTTATATGTTCGGCACCTTTTAAAGGTAATAAATGTTGGGTATAATAATCTATCATCTCCGGTATTGAATGAAAATCACGGCTATTCTCTCCTAATACAAACATACCATTTATTTTACATGTGATCTTAACATGGATATTCAAACTGCGACTTCTGAAATAAAATGAATTGTGTGTGTTAAAAGGCATCAGTTATATAGCAGAAATATGAAATGAAATAATCTTTTATTTGATAAGATTAGTGTGACTAAATGGTTTATGTCTACTTAACATCAATTAATACCACAATCTAGTCTAAATACCTAATTAACCAATCTTTTATTTTTAAGATATAATCCCTTATGATTATACATATAAAGTGGATCAAAAATAAACAACGTGATAACAGGGATATCATATAACCATAATGTGTGTTCCACAATAGTAGCATTTTGATTAAATTTAGCAAATTCTGTGAATAAGCATGTAATAGCCAATATCTTTGAACAAATGAAACAATCCAAAATACTAGAACGTAATATGCACCACACTAAATATAAACTTTTCTTGTTTTAACAATATTATTTACGGAGATCAGTAGGCCTACTTACTTGAGTGAGAGAGATTTTTGTCCTTTTTCAGATTCACTGTCTCTTACTAAATAACTTCCTTCTTTACACACACGTAACATTCTCTCAGCATCAATTCTCGAAATATTACCATGATACCAACTGAAACAAGCAGAGAGATGTGTTTAATTTTCTGTATTTTGTTATTTACAGTCTTTATTTTGATATCAAGTCCATTTGAGGGTAGCTAAATTCTGCCATGTATGCTTTGACTATCAAAATAACTTTATACCACACTAAATTGTCAAGTAACAATATGATGAAATGAAATATATATGAAATTGTTTTGTCCATATATAATCTATATAACTTCAATACATTGAGAGATATGGACAAGTTTAAAGACTTTGCACTAAATGTTCCTCTAAATTTCTTTCTGAACAATTTCATACAAACATGTTGGTTTAAAAGGTTAAATATCATACAAGACAATGTATTTATCCAAGAATCACTATGATTCTGTGACAAATACATCAAATGCTGTATATAAAGTTAGGATAGGACAATATAACTTACGGTTGACAGTCTACAGGAATCAAGGGATTAATCCTGACACCAACAGTACAATAACTACCAATAACATGACGACCTCGGTGAGTTGGTGAACCACCAGATGATGAACTTAAAGACTGGCTAGATTCTGAAAATATGATTAATGGTGATATGTCTAGCTCAAATTTGATCAAGCATTTGGAGGCCTCGCTTACCATCTATATACAATACTTTTATGTTAAATCCTGTGGTGTTTCTACTGGAGGGCCAGGATACCATAGAACAGTGTTTAGCCCAGATCCCATGATCTCTAGTCTACATCTAAGCAGTTAAGTAAAACGTTGATTAGGCAGTTATAATATATATGGCAATATCTAAAAGTGCAGTAACAAATTTTATTTTAAGTAGACACTCTCTGAACTGGCTTTTTTTGGCAGTTAAAACATTTTGATTGTATACTTACTGGTTGTTGAGCCACTGCTACGTTTCCTTCCCCTATGATCAACACATTCTTCACATCTTGAATCTGGGTGAAAAGCACGTCTGGTCGGACTGGATGGGGAACCAGATGAACCTACAGACAGCTGAGAACTTGTGGAATGGGCAGATAAACTTCCCCCGCTTTGTTTTCTATGACCTCTCATGTTGGCCTGTAGCTTTTCCTGCAGCTCCTTCTGTTTAGCTGTAGAATCCCACGGCTCCTGATACATACCAATTTCACTGGCAGGTGGTTTAGGCTTGGGATTGTTTTCATGACTCACAGCTCTTTGAATCCTTTGTTGAAATTGATTTAAACGCTCTGGTGTGTCCCATGCATCCTCGTACGTATTTGAAGATGAAGAAGAAGTAGAGACACTCTGTTGAGCTTTACGCAATTGTTCCTGTAATTGTTGCTGTCTTTGAGGGGAATCCCAGGCATCTTCGTAGGTATTTCCTGAAGAATTACTGGGTGATTTAATACTAATTTTGGTTTTTATTTCTGGAGAGCTTTGTTTGTCACCGAAAGAGGAAGAAGAAGTAGAAGAAGGGGAAGATAACTGTTTAACGAAACGAGGTGGTTCTTCAGTCCGTGAATGAGCACGTTGAATTTTTTTATGTAATTCCTGTTGCTTTAACTTAGAATCCCACGGCTCCTCATAAATAGAGGGATCATCCATATGTCCATTTTTAACATGCATACTTTTCACATCAGTAGCTAAACTGTAATTAGAGTTGTTAGAATCAATCACTAATTGTTTTAAATCACATCCAGTAGAATCAACTTTATCATTACAACCTAGCACATCCTCTACACTCACAGGCTTCTGTTTATCGGGCACATGATCATAGTTATCAGGGATCTTACCCTTCTCGCTCAATGATAGAGAATTATTTCTGTGTAATTTGTTATAGTCCCCTAGATCTATCTCATCATCATCCTCCTCCTCTTGACGAGAAGGAGGTTGATCATAGATTACTTCTGGTGATTTCGCCAGCTCGTAGACCACACCACCACCTGGGTGGAGACGACGTTTCCAACTCGGACTTTGCTTTAAATCTGAAAATAAAAAGAAATCATCATGAAACACAAGAAAACTATTCATTGATTCCACATAGTGATAAACAAGGTAGGCAGATATGTAGATATTTGTGGTGACCTAATATTGTCTGTGTAATGATGTCAAATTGTCCAGTTTCTAATGTTTCCTCATTCATTAGTGAGCTTGCTAACAGGCTATTATTACTGAGAATTTAATTTATCAAAAGCTATGAAGATAATAATTGCTTAATACCAGAGAAAACTGCATTCTCAACAGTACACAATATACACATGCATTTACACAATAGCTAGTTACAAATGTGTTTTAAATAAGTAAAAACACAAATAAAACGTAATAGATGTAGGTTGAATAATTTCTAAATTCAGACAAAAATATCTAGTACAATCCACATCATAATTGAAGATGAAAATGTTATGAATCATAAATACCTTAATCTTTGTTTACAAACAAATTCTAATGTATTATCTAGGAGTCAGCATATCTGAATATACATGTACCTGAATCTGTATCAAATTTTAAACAGGCCACTTACAGGAATCCCACAAATAAGATGATATCAAAACTGCTCAACAAAGACAATGAATGTATACAGCTGTGCAATAAGAGAAACTTCATTCTTATACAAATACCAACAGTAATACAATACTTACCACAAACTTTAAGTGTTTCATATGGTTCGCTGTAGTTTTGACTGGGTTCACTAGTTTTCCGTGATTTATGTCCCCAAGTAAAATTAGTAGCATCAGCTGGCTCTATATATTCTCCTAGTTTAACCTGAAAATACAAAGAATATAACAATTAACACTCTATTTACCTGGAATTATTACTCACAACTGCTTCAAATTTACCTTCAACTGTTTTGAGGCATGCGCAACATTAACATGCAGTTAAATGAAAGTAATTGAGTTTTAGGTCATACTTTTCTGCACCTATTATATGCAGGAGATATAACTTTCAATGTGATCAGAATACTAGAAACAAATGCTGTGCATAATAGTGGGATAATAAATCATATTGTCAAAAATACTTCCCCAGTAATCCAAAAATCTATTATATAAAAAATCAGTATTCATTTTACATAAATATTGTTACAGAAAAGTCACAGTTAAAACCACAAATTTTATCTTTTAGAAATACTCTATGGAACATGCATGAAGCCGCTGTGCATGAAATTGTGGATTACAATAATTCTTGTAGGAAAATAACCGATATAGGCAAATAAGGCAACAGTGCTGTAAGCCCAGACAATGTTTGCTTTTTCAGGCAATAAGAAACAATAATGATAACAGCATGTTTTTGAAGACCAAAATTTCCTGTAATTGAAAAAAAAAAAATCAAAGTTAGTAGACATTGACAAAAAGAAGGGAAACAGATTCACAAATCAATGATGAAAATCAAATGAAAATTGAAAACTTAGTTAAATCAAATCGCAGTCAAGAGCCAGGTGTTTGCAGGAAGATAAGCTTGGCTAAAATCCAAAAATGATCATTTCTTTACAAGCAAGCATCTAGTAACTTCTTTATAATGCTAAAATTTCAAAGGAAATTATATTTTCATTTTTTATTGGTTAAATATTGAACTAGTGCTCAAGGCTAATGGAAGCTTACTTCAAATACTCAGGTGCAAAAAGTGCTTTGATAATTGCCAAGCGATACAGTGTTTTCATATCATATTCAAAGAAAATTTTAAACAATAAGACTGCATCCTGTGTTGACCTTTTTAAATTAGAAAATCTAGAATGATAAATGTCAAGACAGACATTCTCTCTGCAATCTTGTATTATGGTAGAAGAAATGAGAGATTGTCTGTAAGCTAATCATTATACAGTGAGTGAGAAATCTTGTAATCATATCTGTCTGAATGTTCTTGACAATAACAACTGGTTTTAGATAAGATATTGTTATATAACTGTATTAATTATTCTACCAAACTCAAATCATTTTATAGACAAAATCATACATTTTAGAATCTATTGTATGCTAGAAAACATTTTTAAATATGTTTGTCTGCAAAGTTGCTATTCATACTTTACTTTAGAAAATGACTGTCATTTCTGACATTAAACCTCTACTAGAAGACAATTTTGAGATTCTATTATCAATTTCTCAAGACAAAGCACTGGTTTAATTCCTCTCATGAATTCACGCTCATAAACACCACCTTTCCTTTAGCTCCCAAACATTTCAAATACATCTTTGACTATACATGCAACTTAGAAAATCTCTTGACTTGAAAAATGGCTTTATCACATTTTCAGTCTAAACTTTGGCAGTCAAATATTTATAATTGAATAAAAAATCATTACAGAGCTTACTCAATATATTTAATTCTAAACTTCAAATGATCTTTTTATCAGTACCAGACACTATTGTGCTGTTTATAATGTAGAAATCATGTCCAGACTCTATTAAACTATTGACTTATTCAATTACCAAATCTCACATCATTGAGGCCATTTTCAACCAATAGGAGAACTTAAATATTGACTGTCTGAGACTGGAGTGATATTTTAACATTGATCATCTTACTACACTGCTCAACTCTAATGCTTGGTCCATTACATGGCTGCAACCTAAACCTATCAATCTCAACAGTCAAGATGAAAAACACAAATGATCAAAAATAATTAATTTGCTTGAAGCAGAAAATATGGTGCAAGTAATGCAAATGAATATAAAGCAAAAAATATTACACATGTTAATAGACAATAAAATGCTCTGTATGTCAATATATATATTAAAGTACCAATTATTTCTGGCATTCTGGCATGCGTAATTTCAATACTTTAAAACTCTCAAGATGAACAGAAGTAGATTATCAATAGTTAGATTTGAAGAACTCTTCATTATGGTAAATATTGTCATAATGACATAACCAACAGTTTCATCTATCTCACAAAATATACATCATATTGATTATTGCATGTTTTGTTTGAATAGCCTGACTCTTAAAGGGATTGTAATGTCATTAATTGCGAAATTCGCTTTATCATAATATCATTTTATCACCAAACACTTAGTTTTAGTGGAATTGCAGGAACCACAGGCATCTGACTGAAATTTAGGAAGGTGCAAATTGATGCT